GAAACAACAGTCAACACTCTGTCTGTAGACGGATCTGGGGAGTGAGGTTTAGAATGGCTGAAGCTTGAAGACCAGTTGTCAAAATACGAGGCGAATGAAAAAAGGGGAGTGGGATGAGCCTGAGGAGGGAGACGGGCTGCCCCAATTGTCTCAGCTGAGACAGAAGGTGCAAATTCAGCTGTGAGGTGGAACTAAAAAGGTACAGTTAGGAACACACTGATCGGATTGCATGGTGTACTTTTAGAAAGGCACAAGAGAGAGCAAACCTATCTTGAGATATATATACCTTCCTTTCTTATAAAGACTCTTCTAGCTCTACTGTTTCAATTCATAAATTGGTGTAGATTTTCAAATGAATTCTCAACTTTCTGGTTCCCAGACGATGTCCAAAATAGTTCCCAACCATTCCAAAACCTGGCTTAATGGAAAAGCAAACCTCTGCAGTCTGCACATAACCATGAAGTCAATCAAATAGTGAAACTGAGGACATAGACAACCAAGCCTGAAATATGGCAAGTACTTAGCAAGCCAAATGTCAAGCCAAAACATACAACTTCCTTAGTCCCTGTAAAATGGTCAATAGAACACTTTTGGGGCATTTATTCTGTGCATTCTGCAGTTTTTCCATCTTAATTCAGAGCGCTCTAGCCTTACAAGAGTATGGTATGAACCTGGAAATACTTGTGACTTTTCAAATTCAGCAATTTTCCTCCATTCCTGAATTAGAAAATCCTTTAAAAATAATAATAATAATAATAATTAAAATAGGTTCCACAAAAATGGTATAGAGCCATATTTGAAATGCCCAGGATTGCTTGATCCTGCTCTAGAGCTAAGTATCCCTGGCAAATTAAATGGATAAGTCCCTGCAGTTTTCTTGGCAACATTTTCAAAAAAAAGTTTGCCATTGCTTTCTTTCTTGAGATGAGAAAGAATGACTGGCCCATGTTTTACCAATTAACGTCTAATGTCTAAGACAGGATTAGAACTTCCTCACTCTTCATCCAGCATCTTAACCACTAGACCAAGCTGCCTCTTGCTGTGCTTATAGATATATCTTTATGCTCAGCTGTCTTATTTGAAAGGCATTCTTTCGCCAGAGCCTCTGTCAACGCATGTGGCTTTCAAGCAATTCCTTATCAGGTTAAGAATGTAGATCCTATAGAGCCCCAGATGTTGTTGAACAACAACTTCCATTACCTTTCAAGATGAGCGCTTATAATTCAGTAATACTGGCAGTTCTCGTTCATTTAGTGACCGTTCAAAGTTACATCAGTGAAAAAAGTGATTTGTGACCAATTTTTCACACTTATATCCCTTGTAGCATCCGCATGGACAGGTGATCAAAATTCAGACAGTGGGCAACTGGCTCACATTTAATGATAATTGCAGTGTCCGGGGATCATGTGGTCACCTTTTGAGACTTCCTGAACAAGCAAAGTCAATGGTTAACCAGATTCACTTAACAAGTGTGCGATTTAGCTTAACAACTGCAATGATTTACTGTGTCAAGAAAGGTCGTAAACTGAGGCAAAACTCACTTAACAAATGTCTCGCCTAGTAACATAAATTTTGGACTCAATTGTGGTCATCAATTGAGGACTACCTGTATATGAGAGATTATGGATTTTTCCACCTTTTCAGTATGGAAAGGGTTTCCCTCTCATTGGAACTTTTGGGAAATGGCAGGATACACCAGAAACTGCATCCCAGAAGCCTTAAGCAAAGCAAACAAACTACAGTGCCAGCTAATACAAACAATCTTGGTTTTGAGTATACTTTGCAGTTGAAGGCTTCCATTTAATTTCATTGCTCCAAGACGTAAAGGAATTTTAAGGGTCATCTGCCAATATTATCACCTGGTGAGCTCCACAGCCAGGAGACTATCAGCATAAGAAGGATCTCACCAAAGAGAATTTTTTTTCTTCCGGGATGTTCTGTATTCTGGATTTCATGCCTGCTTTTTATAATCTTGCATCATAAAAATTTAAACATACTGGAGAAATGCAAGGGGAACAGTTACACCAATGAGTAGCCAAACCTAAAGAGGTTACTTAATCATCACTGATCAAGATTTGCCAAATGGAATTCCTCAGATCTCTCATTTAATTGTGGTAGGCTCTATCTATAGCAGACACAGGTAAAGTACCCCTCCTGGTTTTCTTACTATGTCTATATGGTAAGTTAATAATTGGTCACAAAAAGCTACCTTTGGATTCCAATACACATTTCTCTTGGAGTCTCAAACACTCTCATAGCCTCTGAGCACAAATCACCAACTGTTTCCTAATTTCTATTCAATTTCCAAAGGGACTGAGAATAATACTATGTTGACATGGAAATGGACAAGATGGAAATTGTTTATGGGGATTGGCACACAAATCTAAGACACTTCCACTAGATAAGGCTGCAAACAATTATATGCATAAACATTCTCTCATTAAAAAAATTAAGTAACCCACAAATTTGTGTAGTGGAAACCTTTAAAACCTGTTCATTTAACTCTACCATGTAAAGGAAGTTTTATTTCCTTTTTAATGAATGCACTCATGTACAATATTCTACTTTATACCCTTTGAACAATTATCTATTCATCTTTATTTAAAATGTTTATATTTCCTCTACATTGCTCTGTAATTCCAGGCAGGATGTGTTAACATATTTTTCATACAATTTAAAATACAATCAATAATAACAATGTTTTTTGTGTGTATATGCCTTTGAGTCACCACTGACTTCCAGCAACTGCCAAGGCTAATCCCTGTACTTTTCATGGCAAGATTTTCAGAAGTGGTTTGCCCTTGCCTTCTTTTTAGGGCTAAGAGACAGTGACTGGCCCAAGATTACCCAGCTGGCTTCATGACCAAGGTGGGACTAGAACTGCATCCTAATGCAGGATTTCCCAACCCTGGCAACTTTAAAACGCACGGACTTTAACTCCCAGGAGTCCATGCATCTTAAAATTGCCAAGGTTGGGAAACCCTATTTTAATGGAACATTTTTAAAAACAAAACAAAACAAGACAATATCTGTGAAATGCCATGTGTAGCTGAGAAGTATTGTGCAGCCACCTGATTTACAAAGTGGCCAAGAGGTATTTGTGCCATTATTCTAATTCCACTGTGCAGCCACCTCTTCATAGGTATGCAGTCTCCCTGGCTTTAACTAGAATCCAAGGGAAAACAAGAACCCATTCCGTCTATGGAACTTCTTCAGATCAAGAAGTGTGAGTAGCAAGGGAAACAGCAGAAGGATGGAAGTTCTTAAGACAGAATCTAGCCATTTCATTTTTCTAGCATCTTCAGCTCTAGCATTTTTCAGAACCACTGCCAAAATAAATTCAAAAGAAAAGATACAAGATCCTAGTAATAAATTAGAAAGTTGCAAAACTTTTGCAAAGAATTAACTTTGGGGAAACTGATTTTACCATTGTAGTGATAGCCAAACAGCAAAGGAAAACTAGGATCCTTAGTGAGAGTCACAGTTGGTAATCAGGTGCCGATTTACAGATTTCTTTTCATAGAAGACTTCAATTGGCTTCAATACTAAGCAAATGTTCAGATTATACATAAAACCAATTATCTTAGTTCATCCAACAGAAAAGAAACCTGCAAGCATGGGCAAGCAACAATGTCTACAATTGTGAACAAACTGTCAAGTGTCCTAGATTTCTTTATCTTCCAGGGGGCTTAGAGAAGACAACTCTACTAAAGCTGGTACTATCGCCTCTTCACTTCTCTTGCAGACTTAAATACAGTTTTAACATTTTGAATGAGCCAAGAAAAAGCTAACAAGCATTTTTAGTTGATCACAAAGAAAGTATTGTCCAAAGACTAAGATTTTTCTTGCAAAATTGCTTTTTTTTTTTTTTTGCTATGCAAGTTTTACAATAACTCAGATGGAGAACAGAATTTGAGACATTAAAGGAGGTTGCAGGTTTTTTAAGGGGCTGGGGCTGGAGAAGCTATGATTATGGAATGGAAAGGCAATAAGGGAGTCAGTTCAGAAGACCTGGTTTGCTGGAATTGTGGTTTACCAACATCAGGTAAAGCAAATTATCATGGTTACACACTGGAAATGGAGATACACCCATATGCTTAGAACAAGAAAATTAAAGGCACTTAATTGCTTTAATTGCTGGTGGAGGCCAACCCTCATTAGCCTCAGGCAGTAACATCTGGGGACCACAGGTTCCTCATTTCTGTTGAGATGTATCAGACATGATCGATAAGGATTTGAAAAGTAGATTAATCATTTCATAGTTTTTATGATTAAGTTCATTTTCCAAACTAGAGATTTATAAAAGAAATCAGCATCGTTGTGGCTACGCAAAGGTACAAGGATGGTTAGATGATTATAAATGACTAGAATGGAATTGGCTTACTTTTACACAGATCAAAGAGTTTGATAGGCAAGATTGGGAACTCAAGGGATTGCCATAGCAAGGTACTGCTGCTTAAGTTGTAGGCAAATATAGAAAATAAGACCTGGAAATATGAAACAAGTGGAAAGGTTTATTTGCAATCAAGGAAAAAGATGGGTAATTGGGGAAAGAAGACAAGGATTGACTGACAGTGAATGTGTGGGGTAAAATAAGAAAGGCCAGCAGATTTGAGACAATGGTTGTTTAGTTGAGGAGGAATTCTACAGATTCTTTTAGGAAGAAGGAACCCTGAGCATATTTATCCACGTTTATTTTCCCCCTCCCTCATAGTACACACTCTCGCCCCCCCAACACAGTGGTTCTGGTTTCTCCAACTCCCCATCCCAATTTCATTTGTCCAAGAGGCCTCTAGACAAGGTGATGGTGGAGGAATTTTAAGGAAAATGTCCGAGTCTGAACTTGGGAGTCTCCAGGGATCCAGAAAATCCGTAGAATTGGTCCCAATTCTAGCCAGGATTAGAGAGGTGGAAGGGAAATGTCAGAAGGAGCAAAAGGGCAGGGGCAGGGCTCCCAGGATGGTATCTGGCTCTGGGGAGGAAATCTGAAGGCGACTCACCGGATCCTTCGGCTGTGACGATCGCCTCGGGGGAAATGCAGACCCCTCGGTCGTAGACCGGCAGCTCGTCGCAGGCCAGGCTATCCGGCCAGGCGTGGCCGTACTTGATGAGGACCGGTTCGCAACCGGCCCGGGCCCTCTCGCAGACGGACTTGCAAGGCTTGATGGGCTCGTGCTGGAAGTCGAGGGTGCAGATGGGCGCGTACATGGCGCAGAGGAAGAAGAGCAGGTCCGGGCTGCAGTGGATGCCCAGCAACCCTTCGAACTGCTCCATGGCCAGGATGGCGTTGGCCTGCGTGCTGTGGTGCAGGTGGTTGGGCATCTTGGTCATATTCCAGGGCAGAGATTTGCACAGAGGGATGCGCACCGGCTCGCAAGCCGCGCCCAGCGCCAGAGGCGCCCAGGAAGCCAGTAGCCCGGCCAGGGCAAGCAGCAGAGCGGACGGAGGCAGCAGCATCTTCCCAGAGCCCTGGCCCCAGCCCAGAGACATCCTCTCCCCACCCACCTCCCGCTTCGAAGCCCGCTTTCTTCCCGGCGGAGGTGGCTGCTGGATTCCTCCTCCGGCCGCCCAACTGCTCGGGGATCCTCTCCGGGCGACTCCTACAAATAGTCTGGCCGCGGCGAGGGCGTTGCCGAGAGCTGGCAGAGGAGCCTCTCCCAAACTCTTCGCGCACAGCCCGGGCGGGGAGCGAGGTCGCGCGATCCCTCTCGCCTCCAGGCTCCAGGTGGGGGATGGGGGGGAAGAGCAAGGCTTCCTTTGCGTCCGCTGAGGGGATCCCGCTCGGGCGGAAGGGAGCAAGCAGCGGGCTAAGAGACGCCGAGTGAAAGAAGTCGCGCTTGCGGGGGGCCGGGAGAGGCGCGAGGTCGAGAAGTTTCTTGAGGGAGAAGGGAAGGGAGCGCGCCGGCGGACGAGCCCGGCTTCGGTGATGTGTGACTGGAATTGCGCCGCTGCTTTTTCACGCTCTCCCGGCCGGAGAGCCCCACCTCCCTTCTCGAGCCGCACCCGCACCCCCCACCGCCGCCCTTTCCCGGCTCCCTCCCTCCCGCGCCCCCTCCCCTTTTTTTCCTGGGAGGCTCAGAGGAGAGACCTGACCTGAGGCTGCCTCCGCTTCCCTCCCGGCCATGCGCCCCCGCTCCTTTTCTGTTTATCCATCTGGAAAGCGGCCGCCTCTTTCGCTTGTTTCGCGCCGGGTTTTTTTGGGGGGGAGCAGCTTCTGGTTCTGGCCGAAAATGAGCCGCTCCCTACTGAGATTCTTCCCCCTTAACTGGCAACTTGGTTTAGGAAAAGTAAAGCACCCTAATCCTCCCGCTCCTCTCTCTGAAACCAGCCTTAAATTCCTCAGGGAGTTAAGGGAGAAGTGTGTGTGTGTGTGTGTGTGTGAGAGAGAGAGAGAGACTCGTCATTCTTTTCCTTTCTACTTTTCCTTTTTACAACTTTCTGCTACCTTTTCTTTCTTTCTCCCCAACAGCAGAAGCAGCTCATAGAGTTTGCCTTAAAAGTCCCCCAAACCTTCCCTTTTTTGTCTTTTAATAAAGGCCGCTTTCGTTTGTCCTGGCTTTCCCCCCACCCCACCCCATCCACAACCCACCCACCCCCATCTTTGGGAAAACTTTCACTTAGCGGCCAAAGGCAGCTCTTTCCACATGGATCCAGATGCTTTTGATCTTCAGGAACAAATAGAAAGCAGACCTTCTCCCCTTGCTGCCACCTCCGCCCTTCTCTCCCACCCTTGGACCCCCCTTCATTTCCTACTGATCTCTGGGGCACGGCAGACACTGGCCAATGCGCACCCTCCCACCAAACAAGGTGGAAAGCAACCAAGCAGGGCAGCAGAATTCCCTGCAAGAGGCAGCCTAACAGGAAATCACCTTTGCTCCTCATCTCTCAACTATGCTTTTGTTTTCACCCTCTCCTTTACACTCAGCCAAGAGAGATGAAAATAGAAAGGAAACTGCCACCTCTCCCAGGGCATTTCTGCGCCCTCATTTGGCTAGAAGGAACAGTTACAAAAGAATTTTTTTTTTACTTATTTTTTTTAATTTGATTTATATGCCGCCCTTCTCCGGAGACTCAGGGCGGCTTACAATGCGTTAAGCAATAGCCTTCATGCTTTTGTATATTTATACAAAGTCAGCTTATTGCCCCCACAAACTGGGTCCTCATTTAACCTACCTTAGAAAGGATGGAAGGCTGAGTCAACCTTGAGCCTGGTGAGATTCGAACCTGCAGAAATTGCAGGCAGCTGTGTTAATAACAGGGTGCATTAAACCACTGTACTACCAAGGCTCTTTTGAGTAGTAATTTTGAGTGAGGGTCAGCCCTACATTGCTCCCGGTGTTTAATAATGGCTTAAGGTGGTTTCCTGTATGGCTATGGTACAAAAATTGTTAAGTTGTACTCAGCCCTCTGCTTTTTCCAGTGGCATTTTAATAACTCTACAGTGGGAGAAAGTATGCAATCATCCTCTTGATTGCTTTAGATCAGGGGTGTAAAATTCGATTTCATTGAGGGCCTCATCAGGGTTGTGTTTGACCTCAGGAGGGCCGGGATGGCATGGCCGGGGTGGGTGTGGCCAGCTTGATGTCACTCGTGTTGGGGGCGCCTGTGGTGGCCCGAGCACTCTGCCAGTGAAAACGGGTTCCTGAACTCCTTTCTCAGCTGCAATGGCCTCCTGCAACCCTCTGCCAGTGAAAATGGAGCTTGGGAGGGCTGTGTGTGGCCTTTCAAGCTGTTTTCACTAGCAGAGGCACTGCGGGCCAGTTCTTCACCGTTTCCAGGGCAGCCCCATGGGCCAGATCTAAGCACCCCGCAGGCCAGATCCGGCTGCTGGGCCTTGAGTTTGACACTCCTCCTTTAGATTATTTTACGGCCTACTCTTGTTGCTGTACAGTTAAGTTCATGGTTAAAGATTGCAGGCTGGTGCTGCATTTGCACCCCTGGACACCCCAAAGCACCAGTTTGAATCCAAAGGGCTGCACAGTCCTAAAAGGTTAATCTTCAAGTTGAACTTGACTCCTGATGTCTTCATGGACATGTCCAGGTTGTTTTCTCGGCAACAATAAAGTGGGTTCCCATTTGGAGTGTTTTTCAGCTTTCAGAGTTTATAGTTTCCTGGTTCCTCCTATCCAAATACCAATCAGGTCAGACACTGCTTGGGTTTTTCAAGATCAGACAAGGTTAGCTAATTGCTACCAGGTTTTGGAGAGGGGGGGCTTTAACATGGGGCTGTCATTTAAACTACTCATACAGTAGTAGTCAGTAGATCATTGAGGGAAATTGGGAGGGGGAGGGGGAGGACAGGACAGGATATGTCGGGAATATAGTCTCATTTTCCTTGGAGGGTGTATGAAATTAGCTTCGAGTGATATTCCTGCTTTCTAGCAAATTTGGGCAGTCTGTGGCTATATTGGAAAATACAAAACAATACTAGTATATACTATGACACAATAAAACAGTCCAGCATTGATAACTGCTTGATAAATCCTCAGGGGGGAAAAAGTTCTTTGCAACTTTCTAAAACTTGCAGTTCTCCAAGGACTCCAGAGCAGGTTGGCTTTCAGTTAAACCGTAGATACAAATAAAATTACGGACATTTCATATATAAATATTCATGATATTCTGGTAGGGAAATTTAAAATGGCATGTGTAATTTGTTACAGGTGCAACCTTTGTGTAATGTAACTTAAGACAGTCACAAAAAAACCTCCAAGGCCAAAAAGAAGGTCAAGTTGGAAATGATATGCAGCTGTTGTCAGCTTCCTATTTCAGTGGTACTTTTTTTTTTTAAAGGTATACTGAAGACCTGCATAGTGTTTTCCTATAGTTACTTTTTTCTGTACTGTGTATGGCTGTATTGCAACAGTTGAAACAAATAATCTGTATTTGAATCTAATGGGAAGATGTAATAAATAGACCTTTTACATGATGGGCCAAGAACAATATTTCTGGAAGATTTTTTTTTTTGTTTCTATTAACCTTTTCCAATTTAAAAAAATATTTGGGCTTGTGTCTCTGTATGGACTGGAATAAAAATTCCAAATGAAATAAACTGGCTATCAAAACCCTAGGGGGATAGCTAACAATATGAATTCTGCATTTGATAAAATATACTATTTCAATTTTAATTTTAATTTCCTTGGAACTTCTGCAAAAGAAATATGCTGAAAGTTTCCTTGAACATTGCCAAGGGTCAGTAGTTGATCAAATAGTTTTTCATAGTGATATAGCAAGATGGATTGCAACATCTTTATGTTACTTATTGCCAATGTATGCTCAATTGCTTAGGAAGAAAGTACACTGAGTTCAACAAGGTTGTCTTCTGAATAGGTCTAAGTTACAGGAAGTTTAAACTTCCTGAACAGATGGACAATGGCACGTTACCTAGAGGAGCAACGGCCAGGGGCTTTTGACCAGAAGCCACCTGATCAGGATTCCCTCATTCTGAATCTTCTGTGTTCAGTAGAGTCTTACTTTAAATGACTTATAAGATTCCCATTATAAAGTTCACAGATTAAGTTACAATTGGTCAACTTCATCTATCATGCCACTAGATAATGCTTGATTTATAAGCCACGACTGGGTTTAAATAATATAGTAAGCCAGTGTTTCCCAAACTTTTGACATATGTGTACCCCTTCTATAATTTTTGTAACGCTGAGTACCCCTCATAAAAAATATATGCTTTAATAAAAATCAAAATATATTTATTTTTTCTTTTTTTTTGGTACTCACAAGACTGTCTAACCATTAGATAACACTGCAATTCTCTGGCGTTTAAACAGCTCCGCGGCTCAACGTCAACTGTTAATGTTCCCGCAGTTTAAAAATGGCCGAACCCGAGCTGCGTGAAGGATGCGCAGAAGTTCCCGCCATAATGAGTTGCGATACGATGTACGATGGCCCCAGTTCCCGTGTAAAAACTGCGATACGCGCCTATTTCTTTCCTTGTTCTGTGGGCGCAGCTAAGCACGGTGCAGTGGATATTCCCACGTGATCCCCATCAAACTCCGGTGCAACGCGTACCCCTACCAAACTCTTCCCATACCCCTGTGGGTACGCGTACCACACTTTGGGAAACACTGTAGTAAGCAATGAATAACCGAATTCTGACATCCAAAGGGAGAGCCTGTCATAGGCAATAGGAATAAACTTGAGGAACCCTGAGTAAAAGTCCTTTAACTCGATCATCTACAAAGCCCCATCAACTATTGCAGAAATAAAACAACCAACTCATTAAGGGAGTTTTTTTCTGCCAATGAGATGATACTATTGGAATGAGGGGAAGAATGTAGTATGATTCCTCACAGTTTTATAGGTTACATTTGGGGGAAAGCCCAAGGCTGCATGAATTATTGATTGCTTTCATTCATAACAAAGTCACACAGTTCAGGACATATCAAAGGATTTACATATGAACTTATTAATAGGGGGGTTCAGTTCCAGTCACACCAGTATACTAGAGAATAAAACTCCAGCAATTGTAGAGATCACCGGTCTGCAAGTTATAACAATTACCATTTACAACTATCAGTTTCCAAACTCTGCCCATTGCCTGCGTTTAATTCTACACCTCACCTTATCAAGTTTCCTCTTCAAGACAACCTTTGCCTAGTAGGTTGTGTATTGACTTATTTCTTCATCTCAAAGTCCATGTCTTAGCTGGAAATTGTTTAGCAAGGAGGCTAATTCAGTTCTTACATCTTTCATATTTATTATTCATCCTACAGGGGCATCTGCCTTTCTCTAGACCAAGGGTGTCAAACTGGTGGCCCGTGGGCTGGATAAGCCACACGCAGGCCATGCCCACCCCAGTTCCGCTAAGGGAAAAAACATCGTGCTACATCATGTGACAGCAACATGACGCAGCAAGTTTGATACCCATGCTCTAGACTTTAAAGGTGTTTATTATTAAATTTAAAACCCCTGGACAATATCTGACTTGTCAGTAGGATGGTAGAGAAATA